GTAAACTATTTTTCTGTTATGTTCTGACCTCTTTAACTGGATTTTTATTAGATTGTCTTTTAGTTGTTTTAAGACAAAGTTGTTGATCCTTGTTTCTGTAGCAATTCTACTAACGGTTCAATAACTTATGCTTGTATATATGTAGATAGGAGGATGTTTCTCTAATTTTGCGTTGATGATGTCGGTTGTAGTGTCGTCTACTGTCAAAACATGTGTTACTTGTAGACATTTCTTGTAGCCACGTTATTGGTTGCGATTGTGTAGGTATTTATGTGTATGTATTTATTATTTCTTTACTTGGAAGAATCTTCCTTTTTCTGTTCTGTGCTAAGTGTGTTGACAAACCTGTGTTCATTGGCATTTGTGCTGAGTGTGTTGGCAAACTTGTGCTCATTTCTGGAGTATTTTTTCTAACGTTCGTTATATCTTGAGCGATGTATTGTGTTTCCAATCTTGAGATTTTTAGCTGGATTGGTGGCATTTCTGGTTCAGTATTCATTCTGTTGCTGTCACACAGACATGAACTTACACCACTGCAGCCCAATCGGTCGCCTTGTGTTTATCGCACTTGTTGTTAGTACACTTGTACGCGTTCGTATGTATTTGTAAATCACTGTGTATACAACTCGCGAGCGGTACAAACAACGTTTTGCCTGTTCGACTGCCTAGCGAAGACTAGAAAATGAATAATAAAAAACACTAATGTAAATTTTTTTAAACTAAATAATTCCAATGAATTGAGGTCGTTGAATTTCATTTCTTGTGTCCAATTATTAATAACAAAATATAGGATTCCATTTAATTATTGATGACCTTGAAATATTATAAAAAAAAACATTAAGAAAAAGTTTTTTCAGTCTCAGCAGATCTTAAAATAGTGCAATTTTGCCTTTTTTTTTGTGAAGTCAAAAATAACAGTCCACTTTGTCGCGTAGTCGTGGTACAAATTGAGTTAGGGCAATTCTGAGACTCAAAATAAGATGAAGACTAAAAATGATAAAATTATATTGGGAGCTTCATTTTTAAGAAAAATGCATTTGAAAATCAATCGAGTGCACGTGCAATGAGCTGCTGATAATTGTCTTATACCGCCCATACTGCTGTTGGGAACAGTTCACGAGTAGCGTCTGCAGTGGATACGATGCAGTTTCTGTTGGCGAGTAACTTGCAAATTATTCACAAAATGTTCACGAGCAGTTTTACTCAGTATATACCCAGCATTAGTCTCATAAGAAATCACTAATATGACTATTTTTATATTCGTTATGATGTCAAGATTTGTTTATTATTATTACTTATTTATCAACACATTCTTAGAACAAACTAAACGTAATAATATAGATAAGAAAGTGAACATTGTTTCTAATTTTAATTGTGTTTAGGTAATTTATTAACTTAATCTACAATCATCGGTGTCATGGTAATCTACAATAATAGTTGTTCAAAATATCGAGCATTCTGTTGTACAAAAATGCATTCTTCAATTTCAATTAAATTGTGATACTACTTATAACGTATTCTGGGTGTTCCGTATATAGGATGTTCCACCTAATTTGAGCATCTTCAATATCCACATTGTTTCTAAAAACTTTATTAACGAAAGTTATATAATGCAAGAAGAATGTAGTAATAATTAACTTTTTATAGATGGAGGAGTTTCGGAGATTTCAAGGTCATCTCATCAGAGTGAATGTGATTTTTATTGTATAAAGTTAATCTTGAGCGAAATGTGGAAACACGAGTTCGAGTTTGTTTAAAATAGAATAAAAAAAAAAAAAGAACGAAAGAAAGTAAGATATAGAATGAAGGATTTGAGGTATCTATGTTCTCATATCCACAGAATATAAACAGGTTATGAATAAGGTAAATTCGAAAATCATTTAGTTTCAACATTTTTTTCCAACAGATAATTGATTGAGCTTGAACAGATAATTGAGCTTGATGTACTCAATGGTTCCTTCAAAACTTTTTCTCCTTATAATTAGTAGAATGCAATCCAACAAAAAAATCTTGAAAACCGTATGGTCAATTTTGCAACAACATTTTTAACAAATTTCCACGTATCCAAAAATGTACAATCTATTTATGATCACTATGACAAAACATTTTTTTACTTCCTGTACAAGTATACATAACAATGGGTCAAAGAAATGAATTTTTTGTCTGAAGCCTTTTCAAAAAAATTGACTTTAAAATATTTTCTAGGTGTACTTAAATTAACTTTTGGACTAGATAAATGTGAATAATCGAAGATTGTTCTATGTAGAAAAATATATATAATACAGAAATCTACATGATATACATAATAATATTTACACATATTTAATACGTACTAATGTTATATATTAATATTATATATAATATACAGTATATATATTTATACATAATAAATAATTAATAATAAATAATTTTGTTAGAAATAGAAAAAAAATTTTAATATCTATTTTATAATATTATTTAAACTTCCAATAACATCTACTTTTTTTGTTTCATTGTTATGTTTGAACGGAAACTAATATTTAATATAGAAAATAAAAAATATACTGCAAGAAAAGATCATTAAAAAATATTAAATAATTATAACAACATCTGAATTAGAAATCCAAGAAATTGTAACTGATATATGTATACATAAAGATATACTGATATACGTTTACATAAAAAATAATATAAAAGATACATATAAAATAAAAAATTATATATGTTAAAATATAGAAAGAAATATTTAATAAACAGTAAGTTAGATAATCCCGAGTGTTTGGGAATTACAGAGTGTATAAAAAGTAATTGTGAAAGCCATAATAGATCAAATGTTTTTTATTGTATCGTATTCTATTTATTATGAGGAAAGATTCAAAATTGCAACCGTTCTTTTGGAAAAAGACATTAAAGTTTTTTTAAATTTCATTAAATTTTATTAAAAATTCATTTTTGAACTTACTTTTATTGAATTTGAACTCACCATAGACACTTATATTTTGTGGTTAAGTGCAGTTAAAATAGCATTTATTGCATCATAATTGTCAGATCTACAATTATATAAGATATTTTATTTTAATCTATCTACGAAATTATTTTCTAAACTATTATTCGAAATATGTTTCGACATATTTCAAATAAAACTTATTCTGTTTTGTGCGGATTCTTATAATAATTCATTATCTGTTTCTGAGATCTCAAAGTGACATTTGTTTTTTTAAAGAGAATTGTAAGTTTTTATTAAGATGAATTCTTTGATGATCTAATATATTTCAAGATAATTCTATATTATTTGCTGTTATTCAAAACTTATGTTGAATGTTTTCAAAATTTCGCTCAAACTTCGAGTTGTTACAAAAATAGCATTCAAAGTCACATTAACGATATAAATTGTCATCATTTTTGAGTAAATAGAGGATGTTTGCTGCTACGTAAATAATATATAATATATAATATATAATATATAATATATAATATATAATATATAATATATAATATATAATATATAATATATAATATATAATATATAATATATAATATATAATATGTAATATATAAAATATACGTAAATCCTCACTTTCTATAATCACATCTAAGAAATCGTATTTATCTGTATGCTTCATTTTGGTATCAATCCAATTTGCGATTATTGTACACTCAATAAAATTATTAATATGATTAGGATTTTGGAAGTTTGTCAAGGGATTGTCACACGGTTGTACTGCATGAGATTTTCAGATCACGGACACCCAATTCATATGGCGATTTAAGAATCCACTAATAACGTTTGAGAGGGTATCTTTTAAAAATAGAGTAAATCAATGCACTGATATCTGAGCGTTTTATATTGAATACCGATGTAGTGAATACTGTCCTTGTCGTTCTTCATTTCTCATATAATATATTTTATAATATGTGTCAAATTAATAATTTTTCAACATATATAATATATTTTTTAAGTTAATACTTTTTAAAGACAATCTAGAGCTACGTCGATTAATGCATAAAAAATATATGATTCATTTAAGAAAGTAGATAAATCTAGTGGTTATCATATGTCTAGAATAAATTTTATTTCAAACATTTTTGCGAATAATAAACAGTTGTGCGTGAATGAATTTAAATGACATCTTGCACATAGGATATTATCGATAATGACGAAAGCTGTAAGGAGGTAAATCTACATGAAAAAATAGGTTGAAAGAAAAGAATGAAAGTTTTTCATTTTCGAGAAAATTAAGTTTGAAAATTTATCAAATATTTTTGAATTTACCTAATTCTAGACCCGACAGAAAAGGATAATTAACAGGAAGTTATTCTATGTGTGAAATTAGAGTAAAGAATATCATAATGCCATAAATTTTACAGTTGTACTTTATATCGAAATAGAAATTTTTCCTCTTTTCGTATGTATTAAAAAATTTTACAGAATTAAGAGTAAAATATCTTTTAGACATTTCTCAATTACATTACCTTACTTCTTTAGGTAAAATTTCAGAAGAATTCGATCTATGGAAAACCAAGTACATTTCTTTCAAGTATTTAAGTAAAATAGCGCAAAACATGTGTGTTTTTGTATTTACAAAAAAATGTTATCATCAATATGTGGTTCATTTTGAATTTTTCATCTTTTTTCTTTAAGTTCAAATAAAAAAACCGTTGCTTGTTCTTTCACCCTGTATATTCAATACCGATATAATTATAAATATTTACATATATACTACATTAATATGTATTAAAACTGATTTCATTTTTTTTATATATCATATTTGACGATGTTTGCATGACATTTTCGTCTTAAATCTAACATTAAATCATTATTATATGTACTCAATATATTATACATGTGAGATGTTATACAATACTTTTAATATCTATTCGACATTTTTTTTAAATCATTTGAAAATATTACTTTTTAGATATTACACGTTGGTAGTCAAATTGATTTATTTTGTTGTAAATTAGCAGAAATTTCTGATAATTATAAAAATGAAAAATCACAAAAACAAATAATAAACGATATGGTTAGAAGACATCAACGAATTACGGGATTATCAAAGAATATTGAGAAAACCTTCACTTACATATCGCTATGTCAATTTGTATTGAATATGTTGGTAATCTGTTTTATAAGTTTCATTTTAGCAGTCGTAAGTAAATTTTACAATTAATAATATATTCATAGAATAAAAATAGTATATTTAATTACGATTTTGATATAATTGAGTATATAAATTTTATAAATGACTTTCATTAATAATAGTCTTTACATACGGATCAAGCGATTGTATTAATAATGAAGTGTTTTCCATATTATATTGCTATTAATTGTGAAGCATTTATTTTATGTTATACTGGTGAATATCTTACTTCTAAGGTAAGAAATGGAAATGAAATAAAAGATAATATAACATAATATTTTATTGATACCGTTCTTTTTAGAGTGAAAATATTACTATATCTGTATATAATTTTCTTTGGTATGAATTGAAACCACAAAATGCTCGTATTATATTATTGATTATATTACAGTCACAAAGACAATTAGAACTTACAGCGGGCAAGTTTATGCGCCTTTCCTTAGAAGCATTTACTAATGTAAGATACTAATATTATATTATGAAATGATTATATATATATAAAATAAGGAAGTATCAACGTAATTTTATTATTTTTTATTTAAATTTTTATAATTCATTTTTTTAATAAAACGTTTATATTAATATTTTAAAATAATTATTTTATTTTTATATAATTACAATCGATTAAAATTTTTAGATGTTAAAAGCTACTGTTTCATATGTATCTGTTTTGTATGCAGTGTACTGATTTTTTGAAAAATTCTTTCGATGTTCTGCGGATACGAAAAATTTTGACAAAAAATATCATCTGTATTTGATTTGTTTGTAGAGATTTACAAATAGAAGAACTTGGACGCTACTAATGCAATAGAATCTTGATTATTTAAGTTCCTTAATATTTATTTCACGAGACAATTTCATATTAAAAACAAATATTCCAATTCCTTATACTCTTATATTTAAAGCGAATCGTAATAGTATTCATTTTTGCGAGCATGTAGAGAATTTAATTTGACGGTATTGAAAAGTTCTAAATAAAACTTGTATTATTGAAGGAAGAAAATTTTATGATTATTACGTCAAAATTTTGGATAAAGGGCATACATTTCGAAATTTCTCGGTGCTCATTGCCTTTTTAGAGGGAGTACGTAACTTAAAACGATTGAAAAGACGAATCGGATGGAAGAACTATTTCTTTTTAAATATCATTTTTTAATGTTTTTTTCAAGGTTATTGGTATTTTTTATGTAGGAAACGTGTATTTTTTCTATTCCACGTAGCTCCATTGCGTAACTCATGAAAAAATACATTCAGATATGTTTATGACCTTCAATATGTTTATGATCTTCAAATAACCTTGGACTTAAAAATTTTTTAATTAATGTGGACCTTATGTTAAACGAGATTTTAATAAAATTCCTAATTCGTCTTTCAAAAATTGTAATATTGTCCAGTGTAATATTGTCCAGTTTTCGTACCGTTGATAAAGTTGATAAGGTTTAATTATTTTATTACTTACAATTTCGCATCAAACATTTGTTTCAAGTCCATAGTCTCTACCTATTAACTGTCTAAACCATTGCGAATTCTCAATCAACCAATAATGCATATTTCTCAAGTTCAATTGATTTGTAAAAGATTTGCTTCATAAGTAAATACTATTTTTGTAAAAAGCGTTTAATCATTTTCGTATATCCCACTGACAAAAATTTAAACGGTCTTCGAAATTTCTTCCATCGAGGGCTTGATGAACAGGTAAATGAAAAAGATGAAATTTTTTAATCTGGAATACGCTTAAAACACTAACACTGGTTTCATGTGCAAGTTGTTTTAAATTAATATATGGATTTTTATGGACTTTTATGGGCGATGACATTTCTTTGGGTAACAGTTTTACGTTTTACACATTTTTTTCTGTCGACAGTACCAGTTTCACAAAATGTTTTAATGATATTTGTGTATGTAGAACACCATGAACAAATACGTTCTGGAAATATCTTTTAATAAATTGGAACAGTTTTTCTTAACTAGCGAGATTCGCCAAATCTTTTCTTGCTTTGAATAATTCAGTATGAATCATTTGTCGATAAAGCAAGAAAATAGTGAATAAATCCTTGAGAGAATTAATAGCAAACGAATTTCATACAGTAAGCGATAATGTTCGTTTACACTCTCAAGATTGTTGTCGTTTTAATCTGGAATCTCGTTTAACATAAGTTTCACATTAATTTAAAAATTTTAAAATTCAAGATCATTTGGAGGTTATATCATATGTATTTTTTCATGAGCTACTTGGTGGAATAGAAAAAAATACACGTTTCCTACATAAAAAATACCAATGACTTTGAAAAACATTAAAAAATATTTAAAAAAAAGATTTTTCCATCCGATTCGTTTCTTCAATCAGTTTAAATTACATCAGAAACGATTTTCTTATCACTAATGGAGAAGATATTCAGGTGGCGTGATTTTCGTGAAACTACTGTATTTTCATAAATACTCTATTCTGACAATAATATTAAAATTTTAAGTTTTTCATAAATTTTGTAAATTTCGTTTAATACGTTTAAATTTATATCGTGATCACAGCCATATGCATAATTCACCGAATTATTACTTACAAAATGTATAATGCCATTGAGGTACAAACACATTACTTATTAAATAAGGAGATCTCTCAGCTTTGAAATTGCTACATGATCAACTGGAGAGGTCTCTCATTTTTTTTTTAGCAACGCATTTTTTTAATTATAACCTCTGGCAAAAAGTTTCTGATCAGAGACACTAATACAATTTATAAAAAAGCATGTTTATTAGAAAATATAAATAAATATAATAATATATATAAAATATAAAATAATAAATATAAAATATTATATGTAATTAAAACTGATGGGAAATTAAAGAGGATTTATTATGGAGTAAAAGACGACAAACATGTACTTCCATTTACTATAAAAAAAGAAACAAGAAAAGAAACAAAATGTTACATGCAATATATTGGTCAACACTTTTATATATAGAAACTCTGATTTTTCCAAGAACAATAAGTCGAAACCGATTTATACAAATATGACAAATGCGATATTTTTGCAACAATGATTTAATGCAAGTCGGATAAATTATTCAAGATTAAAAATGTTTTAAATTACATAAATAAATTTCATGTTGTATATACGCCAAAGCAGAAATTTTCACTGGATGAAAATATAATACTTTGGCGAGGCAAATTATCTTTCTGCATTTATAATCCAACAAAACTTGTAAAATATAAAATTCTGTGAAGCTGGTTTTGTGAAGAATGGTCTGTGAAGCAATGTCAGATTTGCAATTTTGAGGTATATTCAGGGGAACAAATCATAAAAACAGTTTTATCAATGTTAGCGTCAGAATACGCTAAATATTCTCTACTATTAGTCAGCCATCAGCAATCGTGCCTTTTATGATCATGCAAAAAGTTTATTATTTTATTTGATGATTCATGTTTAGATCAGTGGCTTATTCGCCCTTACTTCATCGGGGAATCTTAAGCGATTGCTGCATCACGTTATTGTTATTCAATCGCTTGTTATTAAAATTGGTCGTGAACCTGTTTTAACCGCTGTTTTTGAATGATGACCTGTCCCTAAATATCCGGGGGCAATTAAGCTTCAGCACTCGAATATGATTGGCTAGAGCTAGCTAATCAACTCATATAAGACGGGCTCACGGGTAGCAAGATCATAGTTTCGAAATATCATTCTCAAAGTATTATTTATAAAATATCATTCACGAAGTATTATTCTCGACGTATACTCTAAGCTGAGCGACATTCCGTACGACTTTGAACAACCGCTGGCTGTAAATGAAGACAGAAAGAATTCAGATAAGACTGTATATGGTTACACTGCAAATGAATTATTGTCCAGACACACAATCTATTTCGATACTTGAACGTGCACCAGTACGATCATGAGTCCGGAACAATCAATTCTATCATCATTTTATTATCACATTTGTATGGACAATTACTACAATAATCTAGATACAACTGAATTACTTCTATAAAAGGATACGAGAATTTGTGGAACAATAAGAATAAATAGATTTTCATAGGATTTAAAGAACAGGAAAATGAAGGAACATGGAACAAAATTCCAGAAGAAAGATCAAGTTCTCTTACAAATTTGGCAGGCGATGAAGAATAGATTAAGTTAATAGTATTCCAATAATTTATTCCGTAAAAATAGGAAAGGAACCGATCGTGCAGTCGATAATATATGTTATAATATTCTTCGGAAAAATACAAAATTGAGGAAAAAAGCAGTGTTATATTTGTTGAAGTCCGCTCTTTTTTCTTGGTCTATAAAAAATTAAATAACAGTAAAATATATAAAAAATTTTTGCTTGGCGTTGCAGTAAAATTTATTGAAGGGCGCGAAATTCAAGAATAAAGGAAAAACCTTCGATTATTATGGAAAGAAGAAAACCGATACCGAGGTACAATTCAGCAAGATATTGAATGATTTGAAAATAAATAAACTTGTACTGATTGTAATGTATGACAAAAAAAAATATCTTTACTGCAAATGTAGAGGTATGCTCCGCTAACAAAAAAAAGCGGATATACGTGTTGTAATTTACTATTATATAAACTTATCAGTTTTAAACGTTATTATACTTTAAAAAAATATTAAATTACGTTATTCATTTTTAATTTCATGTTTCAATTATGTAATTTACCTTTAAATTTACATTTTGCAGAAACTATAAAAAATAATAAATTATGTTATTTATGTTATTTATTGTTTAATTTTATGTTTTGTATAAATTGCATGTAATACAGAATCATTATCATCAAATATAATTTATTCCTTAAAGTCATTTTTATATATCATATTTATCTTTGAGTCTTTCAAGTAAAGATTATTCCGCATCGCTTGCGAAGAATGCGTGGTGGATAGCATACAGTCAAGCATTGGCTAAGTAAAATTTGATTTATTTCAGACAGTACAAAGACACCTTATTGTTTTAAAACATCATTCAAATATCCTGATCAAGACGCTTTGTAGTAAATTTTGTAAAGATACTCTATTTTCCTTTACTGAACGAAGTCAATCATAATAATGTTATATTTAATAATAATTATGCTTAAAGAGTAATTATCTCATGATGTTGAGATCGTCCGCTAACGATTGGGAACGACTCAACGGGGTGTCTGTCCGCGAAATTAATATTGTGCAGACTAATTGAAATGGGACGATTCCTGTAATTAATCAATGGACTCTTGTCCTATGCGGACTGATGTTTGTCGTAATCGTTTACCATGTATCTCCGCGTGTGTAACGTATATATCGTGTGTGCGTATATTTCGCGTGTGTGTATACGCTTATACATAATAGTATTCAAACGCTTACAATTCTAATATAACAATTAATGAAATATGTATGTTAAATTGAAGCATTTGATGTAATATGACACATATAACAAGGGATAGATTTTAAGGCTATATAAGTAAGAAAATAATTTAACGATTTGTATCGTTTTTACACTATATTTGTTGTAAGTACGTACCAGAAATAGTTCACAAAAGTATTCGAACTTTGGACAACTAAAAATTTCCAACGATAATAGAATGTAAACAAACATTATTCAGTTCACTAGTAAATAGTCCCAGCGAAACAGTGTTCAAAATTTTTGTAACAATTTTCATTATTAATAACATGACAAAATGAATCGCAAGAAATCTGAAACAAGCAAGAGAATTAA